CGAAGGTCGGGCCGGCGGATAAACAAAGGGGGAGCCTCTGCAGCGCCCCCGCGGTCCGGCTCTCCTCCGGCCCCGCTCGGCTGCCGCTCCCTCCGAGGGGCCGCCAGAAGGGGCCGGGTGCCACGCCCCTCAGAGCCGCTTGAACGGACCGCCCTTGACGCCCGGCGACACCCGAACAAGCTAACCGACGGTTTCCCCGCCCTCCCCCCGCCCGGCCCGCCGAGGCTGGCTCACCCGCTGCATTCACCGACACGAGGGTCACGTAAGGAGTCTGCACGTGCGGAGCCCCCCTCCCCGAAGTTTAAGAGAAAAGCAGCCAACACCCAGATAAGCAGGGATTAACACCAGGCAAACAATCCGGTAGAAAACAATACCCTAATCAAGGAAAACCACAGACCCACCCACACTGGCAGGACAGTGTTTATATAAACAGGGAGCGAACCCACACTCACCAGCACTGATGATGTTCCCTAGTTGGGTAATGAAACATCTGCAAGCAAACCACCAAGCTCAGAGCGCACCAAATGGTCCACAGAGAAAAGCCCTTTCCTGCTCCAACTGCCAACAGTGCAGGTTGACAACTGTGCCCCCCAACCTGAGGGTCCTTTGGGCATATAGTAGAAGAGGTGGGCTGGAGTTTTCCGGCACGCAGCCATCAATCTGGACTGTGCAGATTGCCCCAGGGTTCCCAGCAGCACACACCAGCCTTTTCCCCAGAAGGGGGGCAGTTTCCTGCTCCTGAAGGTCCCCCCCGCCCAAGACATGGCTTCCTCTCCTGGCAAAGGAGCCAAGTGGAGCAAAGATGTGCCCATCATGTCACTTTCCAGCTCTTCCCAGACAGCCACAGAGCTGGCAAACGGAATGGGGTGCCGGGCAGCCCCAGCAGCATCCGTCCCCACATCTGGTCAGTGATAAACTCTTTGCACCTGCTTCGCCCTGGACAGCTGATCCGCTGCAAAGTGATGCTAGAAATCCTCAAAGCAGAAATCCTTGGGCCGCAGGGTGTCTCCCTGTGGTCGCAGAGCAGGGGCATACCGAAAAGCAGCCTGGCCTCACAGAAGCCAGCTTGCAGAGCCTGGATGTTGGCAGGCTCAAGCAGGACTGGACTGTCGAACTAGGGTGGGAGGCTCCCTCCTGCCAGCAGAGGAGGTCACCCGTGGGGGACCTGGGCAGGGGAAAGAGGCCGGACTATTGGCCTGGCCCAGTGCTGCTCAGCTTCTCCACCAGTCAGGGGAGGTCAGGGCAGGAGTTGGGCCTCTCAAATGGATCCCCAGGACATTTGCTGTAGGAATTCCTGGGGGGGGGGCTGTTCCAGACCTCTGTTTATGCCCTTAAAGCAAACAAGGCAAGAAAGAAGTAGGAGGGGGCAAGAGAACACCAGGAGGGTGTCTAGGTAAGCAGGTACCGGACTGCCTTCTGACCCCTGGGCTTCTTGCGATCGTCAGCACCACATACAAGTTCATTAACTGCTTCTCTTTCTTCTGAATGTTTCAGGGTCCAGACAGATTTTCTTTTCCCAGAAATGAAGGCACGTTTGCATTTGCATTTCCTGGAGGCAAGTTTGCATTCAGTTTCTTGAACCTAAAAGTTTCTTTCACAGTACTACAGTCTGGCTAATCTTGTCTGGGGTCAGAAGCTAAGCAGGGTCAGACTGGGTTAGCATTGAGATGGGAGACTCCAGAGAGCTCCAGGACTGTAAGTGAGATTTGGAGGTTGAAAAACATCCCAGAAGTCTGGCAGCAAAGCGTCTTTGGGCTGCTGCAAGGAAGACTGCACAGACACATCCCTGACGCCCGCCCGCTGGGGTTGAGCTCACCTCAGCTTGCATCTGTGTGGCACACCCTCAACCCTCAGCCATCAGGGTGGCATTAACTGCAGAGCTGCGGCTCAGAACGAGACATTCCGGAGGAGAAATTCTGGCGCCAGATCCCAGAGGATAGGCCGGAACTTGAGAGGCAAACCAAGCCACTCCGGTCTGCAGCTAGGAATTTCAGCTGGCCTGTGTCTGCGAATGCACATCAGTAAGTTTACACCACAGCTGGGGAATAGATGGACAAACAGTAGACGAAAATATGCCTTTTCTATACCCCTTTCCCCTCCATCGCAGAAAACAACAACAGGCAGAGTTAGTAGATGTCGTGTCTTCGAGAGAGATCCGTCTGGCTTCAGTGACAACTGAGACTTGCCGAAGCTGGATTTCCACGCCTGCTTCAAAAGCCTTTAAGCCTATTTTCCTATTTGATATATTGTGACTTGTCATCATCATCATTATTATTACTATTGCTGCTACTACTGTTGTTGTTATTATTATTATTTCAGTTGGGGCCATGACGCAACCATAGCCTACACCACTGTCTTCTTTCTTCAACAGCCCAGAAACAACACGGGGCTTAAAACTACGCCACTGGCCTTGCTAATATTTTCATCATAAGACAGAAGTCTGCTCCCCTTTGTGGAGATCCTGATATTGTTCTTGTACAGGGATAAATAGCTGTTTGCAGATGTGTTTATGTCTTTAAATAGTTATAACTGGTGGGTCTCAGGATGGGATACATTTGTAAAATGACAGTAAAGCAACGCTAAGACCATTTAAAGTAGAAAACATTTTATTTCTCTCCTTGGTTGCTGTGTCTCCATCAGTGTGTAGCCAGTCTCAGCCTGGGCCAGCCCATCCCCACCCCCCACCCCCCCCGCTTTGCAATGCAGCTACAGGCAATTCTGCTGATCCAAACAAAGCATGACTTGCAGGGTGCCCCTGGCTGAAAGCCCAACATCTGGAATAGGGCTCCTTCCCAGTAAAAGAGGCTGCTTTTGGCCCAGAACACTTTCAGGGCATGCGGGAGGGATTGCAAAAAATAGAATTTGCTTTGCTGTCATGCCAGTAGAACCGATCCAAGATCAGCAGCAGTGCCTGATCTCTGGCCACCAGACTGAAAAGCAGCCAACATCTTTTTTAATCATTTCTTCCCCTCTCCCTCACCCCACACACACCTAGCCGGGCTATGTGGGTAAGATTCCCTCCGCAAACGTCCATTTGCTCTCAAGCAGGGAAGCTGGAATTACCCGCTCCAGCCTGCCTGAACTTGCAGATCCTCTGCAATCCTCAGAATTCAGCTCCAGCACAAGGATGCTGAGGGGCTGAAGACAACTGGCTTTTCCAGCCAGGCCAACTGGGGCTTCCCACATGTTACCAGGAAGTCTTCTAATCAGGGCTGCCTGCATACTTCTGGCAAAGATTTTGAACAGATACTTTCTTCTTGGGAACATCCACAGAAGAATTTCCATTTCATTGTCATCCTGAAGTGCAGAGAATGTGTGTGTGTGGGCGGGAGGGGAGGGTCCACACCAGAACCCAGTGTAATTGGCAGCAAGGATGCTGGGCACATGGGGAGCGGGACCTCATGACTGTTCTGGGCAAATGGGCTAATGGGTGCAGGAGATCAGACCTCCCAGTCCTCAAGCAGCCTTGAACCTGCCCAGTCAGGCCATGAGCAAGGCCTCAGGCACCATGGCTCACTTGTGCATATACAGTGTGTCTCTTGTGGTTTCAAAGCATCCAGAGCTCCAAGGGCTTCAGTTCCAGGGCTGTGGGTAAGCAGTGGGCAAGGAGAGGCATGCAGAACACAAGACCCCCAGGAGACGTTTTGCTGTCATGGCCGGCCAACTTAGCCCATCAGTGTAGAATGTGCAGGCCGAGGCAGAAGGGCCACACAGAGCAGCCCCGTCACCCCAATTTTTAATGGAAAACTGAGTCCCAGTTCAAATCAAAGTCATGGAGGCGGCACTTCACACAGGCAAAAGAGTCAGTGGTCTTCTCAAATTCTGTATCTATCAGCCACCCTTTCTTCCCATCAGGAGGAAAAAACAACTCCATTTGGGAGAAACATTCTTTTAAGTTTGATTTGGTAAATCTCTAGAAGATGCTCCCCTTCTGGAGTCCCCAGGACAAGGGAATTGGCAAGTCTCTGCTTAACTCCTGGCTTCCCTGGGGGGTCTGGCGGAAAGGTCTTTATGCAGACGGCCCTGCCGGCCACCCTGTTTTCAGAGTGGGAGGAAAACCCTGTGACCCGCTTTGATGGTTTGCATAAGATCTCTGACCCATTCCTTGCCTTTCAGGGGGGCGGATTCTGCTATGCTTTTTCATGACCGCATTGAGCCCCCGTGGAGCACCTTTCCTCAGAGTGGCCCCTGCCTCTAACGGTGATGCGCCACTGGCCCAGATCCATGGCCAGTCTGATGGCAAGCCCAGGCCACAGCCTGAAGGAACCATGTTTCTACACACACACACTGCCAGAAGAGCCTCCTTGTTGGTGCTGCTTTCACAACAGAAGGTGCCAGAGTTCTCGCCCCCGTTGCCAGAACGGGTGGCTCCCCACGTCTTCGAACTAGAAGGAAAGATCAGTGGAAGGGGAGGCCTGGCCAGGCAGATGCCTTCCCATGTCTCAGTGCAAAACCCATGTGTGATTTGATTGCCACTGTAACGTATTAATGATGAAAACAAATTACGGCTTAGTGTGTCATGTAAATCAGCTGTTTCCGCTCTGGATAAAGGGAAACTTGCTTGCATAAGTTGCTCTGGAAATGAAGCAAAAAAGGGAGTTCCTCTCCTTTTCAAACTCTGTTTAATCCAGAGGGAATCGTGCAACCATCAAGGACACGTTTTGCTGCTGGAGCAGAGAAGCCGTTCCGGCAGGGAAGCCTCAGATGCGGGGGGGGGGTTGCTCCCTGGTTTAGCAGGGGGCTGCATAGAAGGGGTTCCCAGGCAAAGAACTCTGGGACTGAAGAGTGGGCCGCTGGTCCATCTGGTCTGGAGGCATTGGCACCAGGCACAGGCCCAGAGGGCTTCCTGGCTGGAGAGCCGCAGGGCGAGAGCGGCCTCGGGGGACCACGAGGTGAAGGGATGCACCCAGGCTAAGAGGAAAACTCTGGCGTCGCCCAGCCTGGAACGCAAGGGGGCCGTTATTCAGTCCAGTCATTTGGCCATTTCGTTCCCTATCGGATACTTTCCCAGAGAGCCAAAGTCCGGCACAGGCAGACGGTGCAGAGCCTTCTCTGGCTGTCCTTGGAGGCCTGCAGAGGGAGACCCCCCCCCCCGGCCCCAGCCTTTTAGAAGAGGCTTAGCGGAATGGTTCCCCTGATACATGGATGCAGAAGACGGGCAGGGCCTCGATTTTAACATCGGCTGCCCAGCAACGGTACTCTTGCCTTCTCCCCAAGACAACCCCCTCCCCCCATCTGGGCCAAGCTGCGTCTCTCTCGGAGGTCTCACCTTCCGCGGAAAGGGAACACAAAGCCATCCTCCTCTGCAGGAAGCCAGGCCAGCCTGGGCACTATGGCATCTCCAGGTGCTGCTGGCCCATCGCCCCCTGCCTCCAGATCAAAAGGCAAGGCACGTGTGGGCAGGGAGGGCTCAAGCAGCTGCTTTTGGGGCCACGTGGTGTGGAGGGGCCTAAATCCAGGCAGGCAGGCAGGCATTTTCACAGGGGCTCCTTGAGGGTCTCTGCTGCTTGGCTTTCTCTTCATCCTGCTCTGCACACACCAACTTTCCAGCCGCAACCACTCCTTGTTGCCACATGCGGCCCAGGGCATTGCTCTGGCCTCTTTTCCCCAGATGGCCTTGCTGGAGCCTGGTTTTGTGATTCCCCCAATTTATTTTAAAGCCTCAGCATGTCCCTTTGACACAGACTTCCCTGGGTAGGAAAGCTCCCCAAGCAATTTGGCTGTTCAGCCTCCATCCCGTTCCGTCTTCAGAGACGCTCATGCTCTTCTCTCGAATCCAGGAAGACTTTGGAGAGAAGCGTTCCCCCCTTATGTGCGGGAGGACAGCGTCTACAGGGACACCAGCTCAGGTCTGTCCTGAAGACCACTGTGCCAGACCTGCCCCCCTGCCTCCTACCCACACAGCAAGACTCTTGGAAACCAGGAAGGGGCTCCTTCGGGGGAGGGAAGGGTGTCCATAGGGTGCAGGCTGTGCCTGCCCCCCCCCATATGGGTGCCAGGGCCACATTCAGAATCACTTCTGTAGCCACTGAGTTCCACAACTGCAGCTGTTCTGGGGAGGCAAACAGCTTTGCCACCCAAGCGAAAGTGGCCGTGGAAGGGCTGTGGGTGAATTGCAGAGAAAGGATGCAGGTCCCAAAGACTCACATCTTTTTTTTCCTTCCTTCCATCCGTCCGTCTGCCAAATCTCATGAGTCCTGTGGGCTCATATGCAGTTGTAAGGCTGGCAAGAGGGTACCTAACTGAAAGGGTCTTGGCTGTTTGGCGCTAACCAGAAAATGCACCACGTGTCGCCTTCGGATCTCTCATCCAGGCAACTCTGACAGCACAGAGGCTCGCAAGGCTGTTGGCCAGGTTAATATTTTCACATGCAGTGAAGGAAAAAGCTTGCCCTGGGTGTGGCTGCATCAGTATCTTTGAAGGCCACAGTCCCCTCTGCTTTCCTAAAATCAATGAATATTGACAAGTGTTTATTTACTTACAGGAGTTATCCCCAACTTTTTGCTGTGAATATCCTCAAGATGCTTACAACATTAATCAAAAGCAAAGCAACATAAATAAATACCATTGGTTAGGCTAAAAATGCTTGACCAGTACTCTAGCCACGTGCTTTACATACCCCTGAGGAGAGGGCCAACCCTGGCTTGAATCAAACTGGGAGGGGGCAGTTGGTAACCTTCACAAATATTTAGAATATATTTTCAGAGGCATTAGTTATGCACAACACTTCAACATTTTTGTGATCCCTTTTTAGGGAGGCACAGCACAGACACTTTTAAAATGGATAATATGAGAAAAGGCTATTGGTAATCATCACGAGGAATACTGGGTTGTGACGAAGAGAGATCTTTTCCGACGAGGGAAAAAGCAAAGCAGCTCCATGGAGATCAGCACCAGGCTTTCGGTGTGCAAAACGCCTCCAAGCAGGGCTGCAAAACTGATGAATCCTGCCCATCGCATGGATCACTGGGTGGGCTCGTGGCCCCCTCGTGTTAATGTTCTGCTGATTATAACCTCAGATCCACACTGCTTCTGTACCCTGGCTGGGGCGCACCAGGAAAGGTGACAGGCCTTCACCTCATTTCCCCTCCTTCGGAACGCAAGGGCAGGACGTCCGTTGCCGCTCGCTTGGCTCGCCCGTCCCCCCTTCCCCTGCACCGGGAGGCTCAAGCCTTGACCCGCGCAGGGAGCCAGGCAAAGGCCCTTCTCGGCAGCCTT